TATGGGGCGTTCCGTGTGAACTTGTGATTTTTTTTTACGTCTATTATTTATATATATTCTATCCTCTTGAAATTAGAAGAAAATAGTAAATTATTTAAAAATACTCTCGTTTTGAGTATAAAATTCTAGTACCTATATACACTGAAGAAACGTAACTCTAAAATTGAGAATATCTTCTTGCCGTTTTATTTTTAAAATTTAAATTTTATTCTTAAACTTAGAATAAAATAATAATCTTAAAATAAGAAAGGATTAAATTAGAAAACAAAGGAATCTTCCTCTCAAACGAAGAATATTTTATATATAGAGTGTATTTTACTTTGATGATCGAGTTTTTGTTGGTATTGAAAGACACTATATGTTTTTATATAGAGAAAGAGAGTAGAAAAGTCGCCTTAGGAATCTTCCCTTGAGCAAGAAAGGAGACTCAACTCTCACCCCTTTCGACATCAGTTAAGCCGCAAATACACCGAAGAGCTCGCGCGCGCGATCCTTTAGCGAACCGAGAGTGCAGCACGTGGATTCCTTTGTCAAGAGTCACACACGTACACGTGAATTAAAAAAATATATATATATATGAATAAAAATGATTTTTATTGGTAAAGGCCAAAAAATGAATAATTTTTGAAAACAAATTACTATTTGTGTCAATTAAATTTAATATATTTCTTTCAAGTATATAGAAATTATTGGTTCAAATAAATATATTTATTTGATAAACCGAAAAAAAACTAAAATTTACAACTTAGGATTTAAAATATTTTTAACGTAAATTCAGTATGTAATATTCTAATTTTAAGAATATTACCTACATACAGAATTTAAATATAAAATAAAACTGCGGTAAATTCGGTAAATTTGAATTTCTCTCCATTTTAAAAATTCAAATCACAATAAAATTCGATAAAATTTTGTTAAATTAAAATTTTGCTGCTTGAAAATAAAGAGAAATAAAACGACAACTTGATTTGTCATTTCAGGTGGACATTATATAGACGCAGTCTTGGATTTCTTTATAGCTTTACTCGCGGCTTTACGTTCGTCGCGATTGTGCAAAATTCTCCAATATATATTATACACACAGAGACACATATACACAAATATATATATATATATATATATATATGAAAAAAAAAAGTTTGCAGTAATATACGTATAGACATCGGTAGGACCGTTTTACATCGAGGTCGACCGGTTTTCCAGCAGCCGTTTAAAGGGACATTGCGACACTATATACATATAGGTATATATATATAAAAAATAGTTATATGTACATACACCAATCTCAGGACAACCGACAATTGTAAGAATAAAAATTATTATAAGTACCACAAGAGATATCACAAAACCGCAACCTTCTTTTTTTCTCTTTTATCATCTATCTTCGTTATATTTTCTTTTTTAAATAATATATGAAAAATATAACTAAATTTCGACATTTGAGGAGTCAAGTTACAAATTTAAAAAACTTTAAAATAAAATAATAATAATAATAACAATAATAGTACTAATAATAATGATAATATTAATAAATAATAGTAATAATAATAATAAAATAATAATAATAATAATCGAAAATGGAAATTTAATCCAGCGTCGTGTTTCGTTTGGAAATTTTATCCGGTCGTGGTTCGCTAATTAGAAATTAATAATCGACGCGCAGTTTGTGAATCGTGGAATTCTCTCTGGGATCCTGTAATTTTCGCGTTTCAAACTGATTATTATTTCAAAGAGTAAAACAGAGTGTGCTATGAATGTTTGTAACATTACAATGAATTTGAATGTGCGGTGGGTAAAAGAGGGGTGGTGGGGAGGGGGGGAAGTAGAGAAGAACATACACACACACACACATACAAATTATTTCCCTCATATGTACCACGGGGATAATCACACAGTTCTATATATATATATATATATATATATATATATATATATATGTATATATATATATATATACATATATACCATTAATATAATTGAAAATTAAGTGATGTTTTAATTAAAATAAAATCATCAATTATTATTGAAGTAAATTTAATAATATATATGTGCTCTAAATATATATGAATCAGTAAACATTTCAAATCAAAAATTCAATCATATTTTAATGTAAAAAATCAGTAGAAATATTAATATTGATTTAATTTTTTGTTTTTATCAACAATCGATTAAAAAAAACACATTTTATTTTCTACTGTTATAATTATTTTACCGACTAATTGGTAAAATAGATAACTGCTTTACCGACTGCTGGTAAAATATATTAAACGCTTTTCTACTGTTCTATCTATTTTACGGTACATTACATTAGACTATTTTCGCCGATCTGTCTATGTTACCGACTGCTGGCAAAATACCCAGATAACTACTTTATCTGCTGATAAAACAGTTTATTCCATTTTCTACTGTTCCATGCCTATTTTACCGACTGGTGATACAACAGATTAGACTACTTTTAACGAGCTGTCTATTTTACCGACTGCTGTCAAAGTAGGTAACTGTTTTACCAACTGCTGATAATTGTATTTAACTATTTTAAATCGCTAATATAATTCTTAACGTTTAATTTCAGTGAAAAATAACTGAATTTTAGTGGGAAATTATTACTGAAATATTACTTTAGTTACTAAATTTTGAATTCTATTTCAACAGTACAAATTCTCACTGGTTTAAAATTATTATTAGTAAAGTACATGAATGTTTCGAAAATTACACAAGATTACGTATACTATGTATTTTTTTTTCCTTTCTATCACTCAATAATCTGATAATATCAAAAGGATTACTTCAGAATTTTCTTATTATCGTAATTATTGTGATTATCGCTATAACGTATCGAAGGTCGGGGATTCGTTAACTTTCTCATATGTAGTCGCAATTCCAGGAAATTCTGTATACGGAAAATAAATGAAAATTATTATATCGACACGATGCATCAGAAAAATGTGCGACAATATAAAATAAATAAAAAAAAAAATAAATTTTTTTTTTTGTTTTTATAAACTATCAATAATATAATTTGTCACTATATATATGCAGGGAATAATAATTAAATTTCGACAATTCCCAATTTGGAAAACAAAGCGAAATGCGATTTGCAACAAAGCATCGGAACATATCTAATAATTAGGAAATTAATTACAATTTAACGAGAATGTCAAATGAAAACTAATCCGATTCAAAATAGAGGGGGAGATTATAAATTCAATAGTAATATAAAATTTAATAAAAAAAAGGGATTTCTATTTCTTAAAAAATTGATTTTCTAGCATATACGCATTCAATTAAAATTTACTTATTAAAAAAGAACTATAATATAACTTCAGAAGGCTAATTGATATTAAAAAAAAAAAAAAAAAAAATTAAAAAAAATTCAATTTAAGACACAGTCATTGGACGCGATATTAACACCCAATTAACGAGAGGATTCGCTTCGTCGTATATACACACTCGACGTCGACGTCGTCGATGTCGTGAAAAATATAAAATGTGAGAGCACGCTATTTCGATGCAACTATTACCACCGGAGGTTTATGATTTTGCTTAATTAATGGTTTCCTCGTTCGCCCTCTCTCTCTCTCTCTCTCCCTCTTTGGTACCGTTTTAGTTCCCACACCCCTTTTTACTTGAACGTCGCATCGACCCTTCGCCTATTCAAGTGCCGACCGTAAAACGCCGTTTCGCAATTTCCCGAAATTGCGAAAATGTTAATTCACGACGAAAAGCCACTGGATTCCATGAATACCCAAAATTTCCTTATCAAACTAGTATTATTATTATTATATTATTATTATTATATATAATAATATATATATATATATATTTTACATATAATAATATTTTAATATAAATTATTTTTATATAATGTAGAATATATAATTATTTTTTTCAAAAATAACTAATGCGATGGAACTTTGAAAAACATAAATTTCCTAATTTTTTCTTTTTGCAAAAGAAAAAAATTTTTTTTTTATAAAGAATTTTTAACATGCTCCATAGTTTTTTTTTTGACAACCATCACCATAACCATCACCATATCTAAATTGACCCATTTAAAAATATTAGGAAAATAATAACAATAATAATAATTTTAAAAAAAGAGAAGTCAGATTAAAAGAAAAATTTTCGACGTCATTCTCAAATTTTTTTTTATCTTATGTAAATAATTAATTAAAAAAAAAAAAAAAAATTGCCTAACAATAATATAAAAGTAAAATAAAAATCTTCTTTAAAAACCTTAGTCTCTGGAAATAAATCAAAAGGAATGAAAGAAGTTCAAAAAAGTATTTTATTTTTTATGTAAATTTTCCTTGGATTTGCATCCTACGCTGAAAAAAAATTATTTGATTCAAATAATCGGTTACTTGAATATCAAATAAATATTTACTTGAACCAAATATATATTTACTTAAAGCAAATAAATATTTACTTGAACCGAATGAATATTTACTTGAACTAGATAAATATTTGCTGAAAATAAATATTTACTTAAATCGAATAAATATTTAATTGAGGCAAATATATATTTACTTAAACAAAATAAATATTTGCTTGAACCAAATACATATATTTACTTAAAAACCAAATTAACTGTTTTTGAACCAATAATTTCTTCATTCGAAACAAATACAATTTAATTGACTCAAAAAAAATAATAATTATTTAATACAAATATTTATTTCACAATAAACAAGTAGCCACTTATTTGAATCAAATAATTTTTTTTCCAGTGCATCTAAAAAAATATTTAAAAATTACGTAAATAGTGAAAATAAAATAAAAATTTACAAAAAAAAAAAAACAAACACGTCTTTAATGAAAATTATGTTTTTACTTGTCATTAGAGAGTTGCTAAAAGTTTTCAGTGAAAAAAAAAAAAAAAATTGAAAAAAAAATTCGAGAATGAACGTCGTACCGGTTTTTTGTCTTTTTTTTTTTTTTTTTCTTGAAGTCGGGAGTAAAATGTGTGAAAAAAACGAAAAAAGAAGTGTCTACAATACCGATGCTATTTTGAGTACTGAGTTCCCAGTCTTTCATGAGGATTTTTCTGGCAGGTCAGGATGACGGCGACGTCGGTGCACCTACAAATGCAGAGAGCGATTATATTTTCGATCAAAGAAAAAAAAAAACATTTTTTTTTTCTTTTCCTACTAATAACAATTAACACAATAATAATTAAATTATTATACCAATAATTAATAATGGTACTAATAATAAATAAATAAATAAATAATAATAATAATACACGCAAAAAAATTTTCACCTAGAACAGAGATATAAGTTTCACTAGAACAGCGATATGTTTCACTAAAACAGCGAAAGTTTTTGCTATTCTAGAGAAACATTTCGCTTTTTCAAATAAAATTTTTTTTTCGTGTAATAATAATAATATTAATAATAATTATTATTATTAATATAATTATCATTATTATTCTTATAACAATGTCAAAAAAGTAGAGTACGAAAAAAATAATTTTTCCTCAAATTAATTTCAATGATAATAATAGTAATAATATTATTATAATAAAAATTGTTATAATTATTATAAAATAATTAAAATAAAAAAAATAATTACATTCAATAAAAAAAATGAAATTATTTTTAATACACTATATATATATATATAATTAGCGCTCTAATTATGTGTACCGTAAAATTATATATATAACAGAGTAAAATTTATTACGACACATATAAATCAAAAGAGAAGAAAATTCAATTTGATGCGCTCAATGGTATACGTAATTTATTATATTATACTTTTTTAAAAAAAAAAGAAAAAAAAATGAAGAGATATGATAAATTAGAGTAAAAAAATAATTAAATATAGAAAAAGTGAAGAAAAGGAGATTAATAAAATATAAAAATAGGTAGTGGAAATGACCAAGAATGGGGAAATTTTATTATAAAATTATAAAATATATTGTCTACATATATATACACAAAACCGGACATCCTGACTTTCACGAGAAACGAACCACTCTATCTTCTTCTTTCACACACATATATATATAGACACATATACACATAGTGAAATCGCCATATTGCAAACAAGAAAAGTTGCAAGAATAAGAAAAGTAAAGTTAAAGGTTCTCGTTTGCTGATCGCCATTTCGTATATTTTATATTATGCGCGTTACGCTCACAAGAGCGCGAACGTCTTCGGAAAGCGTGAAGAGTATAGTGTAACACGAATATTCAGGAACAGCTCAAGAGAGACTCTTTTCATTATAAATTACATAAGAATGCGCGCACACTTCTTATAATCCTTATATGAATGCAATGTTTGAATTATAATCGTTCATGCACAAACTTGCATTATATTACAACAGTTGCCGCCAATTTACATAACGTTTATATTCATTATTAGAATTTCAAAAAAAAAGAAGAAACATTAATTTTTAACTTCGTTTTTGTTTATGCGAATAAAAAATAATTTATTTTTAAAGTCACCTTTATGTGATTTAACCTTACTTGCCCTAACCTAACTTTTTATGAACACATTATAATCATTTAAAACTTGTGTTAAGTTAACTTAAACTGTGTTAACTTGACTTAACTTAAATTGTGTCTAACTGCACTTAAGCAATGATAACTTAACTTAAATTAAATTAATCTTAGTTAACTTTAATTTGATTTAACCTAAGTTAACTATAACTTAACTAAAATTAACATCAACTTAACTTAACCTAAATTAAATTAATCTAAGTTTAATTTAACTTAAGGGAAACATAAATAATAATAAAGTTAAATTACATTCAGTTAACTCCGGTTAAGTTATAGTTAACCTAAATTAAATTAATCTAAGTTTAATTTAACTTAAGTTAACTATAACTTAACCGGAGTTAACTGAATGTAATTTAACTTTAAGTTAACTTCAAAGTTAACTTTAACTTAACCAATGTGAACTTTAACTTAACGTTGATGAATTGAACCAAACTTTGTGCAAATTTGAAAAAAAATTACATAAACAAAGTAAATAAATAAAATTGAATACAAAACGAAGTAACTCTTTCTCTCTTAGACAAGATGATAAAGTAATAAAAGAAGAGCGTTTAAGAAGGAAAAAGCGCTGGGAGATTTCATAAACGAGGAAAAATATGTGACAAATTTGAAAATGAAGAGGAGAATGCATTGGTATTTTTCCATGGCCTTCTATATATCTTGTTATTTAATGCATTATTTTGAAAATCTCGAGGCAGCTTCCGCTTTAGAATCTGAGGAAAGAATGCGATCACGAGGAACGCTCTCTACGCGGAAAGGAATCTCGAGGGTGAAGCCTGCCTCTATCTCTCTCTCTCTCTCTGTTTCTCCTGGTTTAAAGACGCAAGATACATACATACACACAAGGTATAAGAAGACGAACTGTGGTTAAGATAGTTTATACGCCTCGGGCATACACCTGTACCTGTGTGTTGTATGGACGCCTAGTACTTATTATTAAGTTATGTATGCAGCGTTCACTCACTAACTTTGTCTCTCTCTCTCTCCCTCTCTATATCTTTCTCTTTTAATTATTTTATTATATTATACATATGAGAGGAAAGGATATTTTATTTTTAAAATTTGAGGTTATGGTTTCGCATTGAGCTAGGATTGAGATCCAAAGTCAATGAGAAACAATAACCTCAAAATTTATAGCCAAATTAAGTGGAAAATAACCTCAAATCTCAAAAGTGGAGTATACATAAGATTACTTAGAGGTTATGTTTCCTCCCTATCTTGAAATAAGGTTACCCTTACCCTGAATTTATAAAAAAAAATTTTTGAATTTAAAAATTTTGAGGTTATGTTCAACTCCTAGCCCTCTTTTATTTACACTTTTTTCTATTTGAAAGCAATAAAATGGGGTTTTTAAATAGAAAAGAGTGCAAATATGAAAATCGGTTAAAAGAGAGAGAGAGAGAGAGAGAGAGAGAGAGAGAGAGAGAGAGAGAGGGGGGGGGGTTCTTTATACATTGTATATCAGCTACTGGTTCTGATGAGCCTCAAGACAAGTATATATATAAACAGTACCGTAATTCAAACGACCACTACCGTGACCTCCATTAGCCCCTCGCCGACTTCAGTTCTCAATCGTTAATTACTGCATCTCTCTCTCTCAGTCTTAGAAAATCATTAGGAGAACGAGCAAAGATTGATTATTTGATTAACTCTCAAGGAATCATGTATATAAATTCAAAGCCATTCTCAAGTTTATGTGTATTTGTCATCGCTGTCAACTCGTATTGTGCCCTATTTTTTTGCACTTTTTCTATAGTGTTCTAATTGAATTTTTTTTTTGCTTTTTAAAAATATAGAAAAAATAGACTTATAAAAACGAAATTTTTTTTTTTAGAAAAATCCGATAAATTTTGATCACCCTGTATACTAAATTTTCAAGTTAGTTCCCGTTTTTTTTAAAAAAAGAACTAAAATTCTAAAGTAGTATGAGAAGAGACAAAATCATATACAACCCCAAAAACACATAATATAATTATTTCCCATCCTTTCAACTTTTAAATTGGTGAAGAGACTAACAATTTAGAGAGAAAATTTTACCCCAAGAAGTTTCGTAAAGTGTATTTCTCTATCTCTCTATATATACATTTTGCACACGCGACGTCTGGATAAGGTAGTTTACAAAATTACCGAAACTGAATGGGAAGATGAGAGACTAAACAACCAATTTGGTGCTGGGTGACTCTCGAATACATATATACACTCATCTCTTCGTGTATAGAGAGAAGTTTCACTATATATGTATATATACTATGTACTCCCTTATAGGATTCTAGAGGGTTGGCATTCGGGGTTTTCCCTTGCTTTCCCCTGAGGCAGTTTCCAGCAAGAGTATATACACAAACTCAAGTACTCAAGCCACGAGTGGCAAGTAATCGCGTAATAGAGTCCAAATGGCCGTCGGCACACCATTTCTTCGTATTAAACTGCCATATCTTTCTTTCTATATCATATAAACATCAATTCGTCGCACATTTCTTCTTTTTACATATATATATATATGAAACTCAATTTTATCCACGTTTTCATCATGGGACAAAAAATTAGAAATTTCTAAAAAAGGATTTATTTTGCAATTACGATAAACCTACAATAAACCTACTTTAAACCTTTTTTCCGTCTACATTGATCCTAAATTGAACCTTACTTTGACACTATAGTTAACTTAGAATAATTTTATTTAAGTTAAATTAAGTTTGGTTAAACAAAGTTAAAGTTAACTTTAGTTAAATTAGGTTAATGTTAACTCAAGTTAAGTCAACTTAAATTAATTTCTACTTGAAGTTAAATTATACATTGAGTTGACATTGGTCAAATTAAAGTTAACTCAGATTGAGTCAACTTAATGTTAACTTAGATTAATTTTATTTAGTTTAAGTTAACTTTGGTTATGTAAAGTTAAAATTAACTTTGGTGAAGTTCGAGTTAACTTATGTTAAGTCAACGAAAAGTTAATTTACATTAACTTAACTTCGGTTAAGGTAATGTTAAGTTAAGTAAATTAATTAAAATAATTTAAGTTGAGTTAACTTTGGTTAAATTAAGCTTAAGTTAACTTTAAGTTGACTTAACTTTTAAATTAAGTTAAATCAAGTTAAAGTTAAATTTAATTAATTTAAGTTATAAGTTAACTTTAGTTAAGTTAGACTAAAGTTAATTTAAGTTATCTTCACTTAGGTTAAGTCAACTTAAAGTCAACTGAAATTAAGTTTTAGTTAAATTCGATTAATTTAATTTACGTTAAGTTGACTTTACATTCCACAGACAAAAAAAATTCTGATTGTATTTATATTGGCCCTTTGTTACGATACACATCATATAAAATGACTGATTGTGCGAGAAATGTTCGTAAACAAGAAAAAGTAATTTCAAACGTAATATAAACGCGAAGAATTTGGTTGAAATCGTTTTAGAATCCAGATGATTTTTTTTGCAATTTTTTTTTTTTCGTTTGTTTTGTTTTGTGTTTTTTTTTTTTTTGCCTCGCATCGCACTGAACGAGAGAAAAGCCCTGTTCGCTTAATAATGTTCTCTCTGGAAAAGCGAATATTCACAGTGTGCATTCCAGCTATTTTGTTCGC